TAACAGTGTGTGAGATCCCCAGAGAGACTGGGGCCTAGGATGTATTCTTTCATGCCAAAAAACTTACTGATTCTTATTTTCTCTCTTTTGTTTTTACTATATTGCAAAAAAAACAACAAAACATATACATGTAGATGTGTATTTGCTTTAGGATTAAGGTCTATGTCTTTCAACCTATTTTTCTCAAAGTTTTTCTCTTTCTGTATCACTTGCGTTTATTTTGCAAGCAGAATGGCAATGATCCATTGATTTTTTGCAACACTGTTAGTAGGAGGTCAATTTTAAAGAAACATAACTAAAGTAGCAAAAAACTGGCATAGAACTATTCTGCCAGTGAACCATGTCTTTGTGAAGACTGTAGAGTTTGGCTGAGCATCACTTAAAGGTAATCTGTACATTAAAAAGATGCTTCTCTGGAACGGTCAGTTTGGGCCCTTCAGCAAGAGCGTGCTTTCAGAGGGAATAAAAATGTAATGGTAGTGTCAAGCTAGGGTTATGGCAATGTTTCAGTAATGTATACTGTGAAAGCTATTTTTATTTTCATAGTTTTCTATATTGCTCCAAGTCAAATGTGTATCTATATTTTTTTAAAGATGTATTTTTAATCCAGAACTTTGCTTAGTGTATGTGCTTTCCAGTGCTTCAAGTGGAGGAGATGGGTTATAAAATGTGTAATAATAAATTGATGATGAAAATAATAAGAAATTGTGCTTAATCAGTGCAATAAAGTATAGAGAATAGGTTTTTTCCTGTTTCTTCCCTTGACATAGTTTGATTTAATTTCCTATAAATTGACAATTACAGATCTGTAAATTATGGAAGTCACATTGTCAGGCTGCAATTTCCAATGCAAAGTCCTTTCTCCAAGATTTGATTTTAGGTGCTTTTCATTTTGGAAAATGACTTCTTTTGTAGAAAACCCTGCCTGAGAAATGGAATTTAGTACAGAACTTTTCAGATTTTGTGAATAGAGTGTTTTTAGGGAAAGATACTATAAATATGTGAATGCAGATAAAAATTACTTTTCTTCTTCTGGAATTTAAAAGATTGATTTTTAGTTAAGCTAATCTGTAGTTGGTCATAGCAGTTAATTTATAGATTGGAAAAGGGAACTTGTTCTTTCATTTAGGAAAGCAGTTAGGTCATTTGTGTACCTTTACTTTGTGCCCAGCAACATTTTGCTGAAATTTTACTGGACTTGCATACAGTGACTGTGACACCCTGTGACAGCTAAGCTAAGCTTAGCACTAAACTTTCTTCATATAAATAGTTATATTAACTGTAAGTTGCAGTATTGCCTGTCCAGTGTGTTCCTGGAGAGATTTAACCTAGGAGGGAGATGATGAGCAAAGAGGCTCAAAGCTTTCCCTAGTTTCCATTTACAGTCCTTACTTTCCTGCTTTATGCCACTAAGCCACAGTAGAGAGACAACACACTTGGTCTATGTGAAGACTCATGGTATTACTTTTGTACTTTTTGGAGGTCAGTATTGCTCTTCATCTCCTAGAACATCATTCCTAGTGATTTGCTATGTTTAGTAAGTTTTTTAAAAGCTGCTAGTCCTAATCAGGAAAAACAGAAGTACTTTCAGGTTTTATATTAGTTATAGTTATCTAACTTTCAGTATGGGTGTGATTCTTTTTTGTTATGGGGTACTGCAACTTCTCAAAACAGTGTTAAATCTACTAAGAAAGCTATTATTGGGCATTTCGTAGGGATTCTAATGTCTCATAGGAAGGAACTTTTGAACTGAGAATTCTGTTCATGTTGTGTGTGCACATTTTTAAGTGTGCAATGGCTTTTTTACGATAACTTGATCCATCAAATGATTTTTAAAAAAAATTTCTCTCCTTATTATTACAAAAATCTGCTGCATTTTTTTCCTATGAAATATGTGGCAAAAGGAGCCTATAGCATTAGCTGGAAATTATCAAAACATGCTTTTTCAGTTTGCCCTTAGCTTGCCCATGACTTGGGTATATGTCACGAAATAAGGAGAAGGCACCCACTGCCCCATTGTTTTTGGAGGGAACAGTAAAGACGTAAAGTAGCATAAAGATATCAGACATAGGCTAGGAGAATATGATGAGAAGGAAAAACCCACTTTAGTTTCAATGTCTTTTCTCAGATGGTTCAGTCCTGGTCACCTTGACCCCCATGGCTAAAAAGCATCAAGGACCATCCCTGCCAGTGCTGACTCTGCAGTGTCAGTTCTAGGATATTATGTACTCATGGCTAATTTAGCATGCAGTTGTTAAGAACTAATACTCTTGTGCTTCAAAGGAGGATGTTTACTACTGTGTAAGAAGTGACCATTGCCAAGAAGTGATATTAATGAACTGAGTTTAAAGTTTAAAACAGGCCTGGTCTGTCAGTCTTCTTAACACTCACCTCACAGCAACTCTGGTTCCCTCGTACGCGTATGTGCACACTAGCATACATTCAATTGGAAAAAAAAAAATCTCAGCTTTGCAGACTGTCAGTGCTGTTTGTGAGTACCCAAGGGAATTACAGTACTTGCTTTACCCCCGATTTCTTCTTGTGCTCTGGGATTTCACTGCCTAACAAATGAACAGATAGATAACTGGGGGTTTGCATAGATAAAGAATCTGAACAGTTGAGAGGATATTGGTTTTGATTTTAGTGTCCTGCAACTTGCTGTCAATTTCTGGAGCAATTGGCCCTTAGATCTTTGGAGATTTTAGTAACAGTGAGTTAGTAGATGAAGGTGGGCTCAGTGGGTTTTCATTTAGCTTTTTACACCCTAGGTAAGTTTTGCAAATAGGAATTAATTTGCATTAACGTATTGGGAATCTTACAATAATCAGCAGTCAGTTTTATGCAAAGGCCTGTATATGTATGCATTATGAGTTTAGTTTTATAAATATTCTGTGCCTGCTTGGTAACTGAAGCTATCTGGGGTGTGCAGGAGAAACCTGAGCAGTGCACTTTGTGATCGGTTGTAACTGTATTCCAAGCAAGTTCATATTCTCATATAAATTAGTGGAAAAACATACTTCTGTGGTTTCTATATTATTTTAAAACTGGCAATTTATCAGGTGAATTTTCTTGAAATTTCAATGCTTATTAAATTTCAGATTATGTATTTTGAGTAAGCTGGAAACTTAAACTTGTTTCCATAAGTATGGCTGAAGGTAAACAACCAATTTTAGTCCAGAAAATAGCTTTTGCTTCTGTCAACATGTTGTTTATTTTCTCCCTGAGATAAAAAGTTCAGTTTTCTGATATTTGTACCAAGATAAAGTCTGTAAACAAGATTAATATAGTGTGGAAAAGGTTGTCAGCAGCCCTGGCAAAGGAAATAAGTTGCCTGTACACAGAACATACTGTAAACTGAATAAAAGTGTCAGGTCCACCATGAGATAATGTGATCATGAACCTCTAACAAAGCATGACATAGGCACAGTCGGCTTTTCTTATAGCCTCAGTGTAGAAAATGGATTACTATATTCCAGGGATACCCACTGGAATAGCATGAAAACCTCATTTTGAGATTAATGCAGGATATAACTCTCAAGAGCTGAGCTGCATGTTTACCTATAGTGTTAAGGTAACAGTTGAGTTGTTAATCTTAAAATTTAGAAATTTCATATTAAAATACTTCCTCATATTTACAGGCCTGTCTTTGTGAATGGCTGTTTCTCACATTTATTAGATGTTTATGTGACATTTAAAAAGTAGCATTTGGTTGGTGTCTTATTATTATCACATGGCCTCAATCAGTCTAGTAAAACAGTAAGAAGAGGGTAAAGCAGTAGGTGCTGTTCTCCCATGTAGCTACCACGATTTCCTCTACTAGAGATTTGTATGTTTGCATAGATTTTTCAGATTTAAGATATTACCAATTCTTTTTAATCCCCATCAGCCAGAAAAGTGACAGCACTTCATTTTTTCTCAATTCAGACCCAAGTGACATCATTCTTCAGGTCAAAGAAGCAAATTTTGCTCAAACACTTTAATCACGTGGAGCTTTCAGATTATCCAGTGAACATTCTTCAAAAGTTTTCCAGAGCTTCAACTGTCCTGACTTTTCTCTATTACAACACCAGATTAATAGGGATATTTTTCTTTAAAAGTTGAGCTCATTGTTCTTCTGATAACGAGTAGGCTGCCTTTATCTGTGAATTTCCTCCTTATGTGCTATTGGCAAACCTGAACCATATAAATGTATTATATTTTTGTGGTCTCCTTTCAAGCCTGGCAGAACATCTGACTACAGTAAAGTGTTGTAAAAATTATTTTACCTTTGCTTTCTATCCCACATCAACTTGAATTTTTGTATTAAATTTGTATTAAATTTATTTCTGTACTAGCCATAAATATAAATACATAATGGCCAGTCTTCGCAAACGAAGAACTGGGGAAGGTCTTTCCACCTTCCAGCCTGCGCATTGGATTTTTTAGGTGAGACACAGTGTGCGCGGAACTGAGCCCACCCTTTAATCCTGAGGTTCCTGGCAGCGAGGTCCTCAGGATGTAGATGGATTGCCTTACAGGGCTAACGAGCTCCATCTGCCTGGGGAGTGGCCCCGACCGGGAATCGAACCTGGGCCTCGGCGATGACAGCGCCGCGTCCTTAACCTCTAGACCACCAGGGTCTCCCTCTAGCCATAAATAAGGAGAGTATATTGACTACGATTTTCAAAATGTCTAACTTTCATTTTTAGGAGATATTCATGAACTTTTAAAAAAAAGTTACTTAGGGCCTTGACATCTGTAAATGTCTTTTATGTCTGACATCCAATCAGAATTGCACACAAAGGATTTTGGCAAATCTTCTATAACACTTTCTGCACTCAGAGTTTAGTTAAAAATTGCAGATATTGCTAAATGCATTTACTGTGTCTAGTATACTGTCTCTATTTTGTATTTAACATTTGTCATTTAATATTTGTGATATATTCCTAATAAACAATCATTTTGTGTATATGCTGCCCCATTATTCAAAGACCTCTTTTTTCCTACATTTTTTCCATTAGATAACTCCAGGACCAGGCAGTAGCAGGAAAACGGTTCACTTGGCCCAGGATTCTCTTCACCATGAGTGAGTATCAGTGATGGGAGTTAAAATAATTTCCACAAAAAGATATCGAATTAATTGTTTAAACACAAGTAAATATGTAATGTAATTCAGTTTGTTTAGTTATTCTAGTGTGTAATTACTGTATGCTCTTATTCTCTTCAGATGACAACATTTAACAGCATTATTTATTGGTTATCTCTTTCAAATATGAGAATAAGAACATTAATTTTTCCTTTATTTTTCAAACCAGAAATTTAAAATACAGACATACATGATGAGAAAACAGTATATTTGGGGAGGCATTTGTATGTTCTAACTGCTACTAGACATAGCATCCACAGTTTAAAACAAAACTTGCCAAAGCAAGGATACTACAAACATCAGATCCTTAGCATCGACTGTTTTATGATACTAATCCACTTCTGTTTCACCCCATAACTTCATAATGTGTGTGTGAATTCACAACGTTATGGTTTCATAAGTTATTTCTGGCCTTAAGTAATTCAACTGGTATTTTATGGGGTTTACTTTTGTTTATTCTAATAAAACAATCAAGCAAACAAATAATACTGTGATTAAGTGAATGGACAAAATGGTAAAAATCAGTGTGATGTGAATATTACTTTCCCATTACAAGGGGTCTCCTTCTTTATGGAAGATTTCTCATATCTAAATATGAGATACATTCAAATTAATTTGATGTGCTTTTTCAATAGAGATATTTTTTACTAAGCATTTAGTCTATAATCAGCTGATTCCCCACAATCCACAAGAGTTTATGTGGAGGAGGATACCCCAGTTTGCCCCTCCTCCTTGAGTGTTTGCTGTTGACACTGATCAGAGACAAGACACTCATCTGTATGGAATTTAGATCTAACCCATTTCTTATCTTCATCAGCTCCTGGATATTTGTGACCTTGTGTATTGAGTCACTTGCAAATGTGATGTTTTGTACTTTCCGTTCCCCTGCCAACATCAAAGTTGTGTATATTGAAATCTCTCTGGTTTTGCCAGATTTTGAACTATTCAGTGCAGTTGATGAATGTTTCATGTTCAAAATATATAGATATCTACCTTATCTCAAGGTATGCTTTTAACTTTATTGCTGCCAGTCGTTTTTCATTTCCAACTCCTTTTCCTTAATCACCTTAAAAGTAGAAAAGGACTAAGCAGGTATAGAGGTTTTAGTGACAGCTGGTGTTTTGTACAAGAATGAGAAGGTTGACTGCTCATCAGCAAACGTCACAAAAACTGAGTGACAAAAAGCCACAAAACTTTCAGATTTGAGACTTAAAAATAAAAGTGATTTAGACAAGACAGTTCCATAGAATCTGCGTCTTCTCAGTATATTAATTAAAGTTTAAATGTCATTATGCGGCTGCTGGGAGGGGGGAATAGGACTAAACTGTATTGAATGTCACTACTTCAAGAAAAGCATGACTAGGTTAAGCTTATAATCTTTGGTTGCACTTCTAGAGGAACTTAAAAGTATAATAGCAGATAGTAGGATGTTCTTTTTTGTGCAATGTTGTAATGGATGGAATTATTTTATCCTTTAACCAAAACCTATTGCTTGCTTACATGAATAATATGTAGATACCATATGTACCTTGAGATCCCCCTTGGGTTTTTTCCATTCTTGTTTTCGTTTTCCAAGTGTGTAGGTTTGTATAATTCTTGCTACAGCTCCATTCAGATGCTTATTTGGTTCTATGTGATCACAGCATGTGTGTGAACCAGCATTACTGTGCTTGTTGAGGGAATGGGCACGTTTTCATCCCTGCATGTCAACATCTTGGTCCAAATTTTTATATCTCTGAAATAAGGTTGCGAATAGTCAAAATTCTGCAGTTGCATGGAGATATGAAGCCACTGAATTTACAAACTTGGAATTTCGCTTTAGATTCAAACTCAGACCTCAGTTTGTGAAATAATACATTAACTATCCAAAGTGTGTTAAAGTCTTTTCAACTATAATCATTAATAAGAACCACTTCAGTACTAAATAATAAATTACTTTTATTTAGAGCACGTGCATAGTAGTATTAAAATGCCATCATTTATGTATTATTTTAGCTTGTTTGACAAAATACAATTACCTGTAAAGCCAGTAACTACTCAGAAGTGAAATCTGTGATGCATTCTTTCAGAAGTGTTACAGACTTAGAGAGTTCAATAAAAATATCCCATTAAAATAAAGCATAGCCAAAGGCTGTATTTTCCTGGCAGGCAATAAAATACCCAAAAGCACGCACAGACTGGTCATATGACAGCATGTGCTTTGTTAGGTATATTGTTAAACCTGTCTTTTCTTTTTCTCCCACAGTCACTGGTTTAGCCCTGGGGCTAGGAAGGAACATAGCCAGGTAAGAACTGCTTTGATCAAGAACAGTTTACTTGAGATGTATAAAGAACTTTAACTACCTCTACTCCAGAGGTAGTGGGCTAATATTTTAAGAAATTATAAACAAAGCAGGTACAATTTCATATTTTCTTGTAAGCAAACATTAACAGCAGTGCATTTCCAAAATTCTCTTAATTAAAAATCTTTAATTAGTCACTTAATTTCACTGAAGTATCCTTGAGGTTTTAAAGTTTAAATGAAAATTTTGAAACTTTTTTTTAATTATTTTGTCAAGTCGTAGTATCTCCAAATATTGCATTTCTCAAAATGCTGGAAAGCAAAACATTTCACTCCCAAAATCAAGAAATGCTGCGACAAGAACAGGCAGGCTTCTACAGGAAGATCTTCAATTCCATTTTTCTGCATTTCATTGGTTACAATGACCACAGCAGTAAAAAAGGAACTGTTAAATCTCCATCATGGTGCAGATACTGGTGAAAAGAACTTACTAATTCACCTGCTGAGCCCCTACAATGTAGACCCTAGGAGATCCAAGCCTAGAGATGTGGTTGAGGGAATGTGAAGTTATGTTTAATATTTGATTAGCAACATGGCTCTTACTTCTTTAGCTTATTTTCGGACATGGAGGGATACTTGTCTTTATGGATGGCAGTAAGGTCTAACAGAACATACTCTCCAGGACTATAAAGTATAAAAATAAATCTGGTTTCATTTCATAAATGTATAGTTAACTTCAACCATTCAGTAAAAGTAGTTGAATATATTATTGATGCATTGAAATTTAAGACAAAAGTTCCATTTTTTTTTAACTCAGAAAAAATAGATATTTACAAATGTGAATAGATTTGAAACTTCAAAAGGAAATAAAATCTAAACAGCCTTTGGAAGGTTCATCTTAGAATTATCCATCATGAACTCTTGCAGTTCCAGTAAGTTGTAGTTTAAATCTTTCCTGTTCCCTCCTCTTCTTCTGAACTCCAAAGCAAGCCATATTACTTACTCAGAACTGCCAGAGTAGATAAAACAAAGTAGTTTTAGCTGTAGATTGTGAACGTCTAGCATGTTACAATATGTCAGCTGACTGACACTTAACATGTAAACAGACAGCTTTACATAATTCACATTTAACTCCCATTATTTTGAGATACATTTCCTAGTGAAAGAAATATATAAAAAGGAACGAGGTTACTGTGAGCTTGAGTGATTTTTTTTAGTTGGATTTCTAAAATATTGATTGTCTCAACAGATTAGTTAACTGAAGTTGTACTGTTTACTTCTTTAAAAGATTCTAAGCTGAAAAATATGGACATTTCCACGATGAGAAATACATTAACGTACATCATACATACTGGCACTATCCATTCAGCACAGAGGGTGAGAAATGTCTGCTTAGCTGGTATATAATGACAAAGTAATCCATTTTTCTCAGATAATAGTAGGTTTGAATTAATTTTATATTTTACTTGTTTTTTTCATCTTTCCTAAGAGCTGCGCTCCCAGAGCTTAGCTGAAGTCAACTGAATTTGTAACATACAGATTACTAAGGAATTGTGAAGTAAAGCCAATATCATCAATTATAGATGTGTAATTATGCTTTTTTTTTTTTAAGGCAGGAGAATAAAAGAAATGGGAATGACATTGCAATGTAATTATGACAGTTTTGACAGTCACTAAAATTCTCACTAGATTCTGAAGATCCATAGTGTATAACTGTTCTTTGCATGTGTTTACTACTTTCTGGTTTAATTAATTTCTGGAGCTGAAATTGTTATGTTAGAACACGAGTAATCAACTAACCACATTTAAAGTTTGGCAGGTGATCTTCATTTGTATACACTATAACTACAATTTATTTATCAACCAGAGAATGTTGGTAACAATAAAACTATTCTCCTTGGCTTGACCGTGAAATAGATGAACATTGTCTGACTGTTATACTGGTAAAAATTGTGGCTACATTTGAATGGGAATTGTAAGTGCTCTAATTCTTCAATGTGAAGAAAATAAAAAAATTAATTTGCAAAAATGTATCAGAGTATATACCTTATGTATCCTTTCAGATACCCCTGCCTTTTAAAAGCACACTGCATTTGAGAACTGTATGGTTGAAATGAAGAGTATTCATTCCATATACAAGAGGGAAGCTTTAAAGAGTTGGGGAAAAATTGATTGATCAATTTTTTAGAATGGTGGCATTTCTCATGTACAACATTAAGGTGTGGTTGGCCAAGTCATAAAATTTATCATTTCCTAATTTCTATAGGATTTTTAAGTGTATTTGCTGTGAATATTAGGTCCATTTGCCCCTACTTTTTTTGTTAGCAGTCTTTCATTCTATTCTTTCCTCAATATATGATAAGTTTCAAGAAACATTTGTGGGGGTTTTATACTGTCCATTTTTAATTTCTTTAATGTAACATTTTGACAGTTGTTTTTTACTGTTATTGCCACTTGACTCATCTGACAAACAAAATGCTGGAAATAGACTTTTTGGGTGCTGGAGAGAGTCTGATTGAAAAAGTCTTCCTAAAAATAAATAAAATAAATCTCAGCTTGTTTCAGAAGCTGAGTCACCATTTCAGTTAAACAAATCCTTCATTATTCCTGCTTCCTCTCTATTACGAGAAGCTTTAATACTGTCTTTTTGTTAATTGTGCAACTTTCAAATTACTGCAGCTCCTGGGGCTTAGTAGAAGAGTTTATAACTCTTTCATAACTGCTTAGATACAAGTGGCAACCTGAATAGATTTTTTGTAAATAAAGTGTTCTCCAAGACTTTTAGTTATACAGCTTTGAAAATTCAAATTGAAATTGTGAAAATGGTAAAATTTTACAGATAAATTATTTATGAAATTTTGGATTGCATGGCTTTCTAATATGCTTCAAAAGTGCTTTAATTTTACTTTTTCAATTATTTAGGCATTTTAAATTGGTAGGTATGTATTTACATACTAGCTATTATTGTAAAATTCTATTAATTTCAAAGCCATGGCTGAAAGCTATTGAAAGATTATACTCAAGAGAGGAAAGAGTTGTATTGTCAAGATAACTGTTCTACAAAGCAAATAAAGGCATTGCTTGTGAGACTGTTCTGAACACGTTTGTGTTTTTTTTGATAGCTTCAACTCTTGCGAGACAACCGATCGGAGAGAGGACACAAGAAGAACAGCTCTGTGAAAACAGCTAGCAGGTAAGTTAATGTGGCAGCTGTCATTAATACAGTTCAGGAATTTGTTGATTTCTCAACTCTCCAATTTTATATAAGAAGTGACACCAATCTGTTGGGGTATTGTCCTAGGTCTTCTGAGGTTTTTTTGTGCTTTACTTCCAAGAATTTTTTTCTCATGGCATAATCTTTGCCTTACGCATGAGTATTAGACTTTTTTGTGAGTATATCCAACTACACTTACTAAACTTAATCTCTTCGGAACATCAGAATTAAATGGATGCCAAAGGATGGTTTGTGCTTCTGGCTTGTAAGCTAAGTGCTGGAAATGTATAAAATTGCTATTATGCATATGTAAAATTAAGAAAATAAATACTGTAATACTTAAATTGTTCTTATATTTTGACTATAAACATTTCGTTGTGAAGACTTAATAAAAGCCAGTCTAATTCTATTCTCCAGCTTCTTTCCTCCCTCTCAAAAGACAAAATATTAACACTGAACTTACAGACACTGATCTAGGAGTCTGTTCCTAGAGAGGTTTTTTTACTTACAGGCTACCTGCTAAATCTATTCTAGCAAATAATTATTTTAATTCTATCGTTTTTTCAAATGAGAAACTACAGAAATGCTTCCCTTGCTATGCACAACACCTTACACTGTTTTTATGTTGTTCTGTAAAGATGACAGTGTGCTATCAAGTTACTTTTTTGAAAAAGTTACAATGAATTTATATCATTGTGTAATTCTGTGGTACCGCTTGAGACAGTTTTCTTTCAGGCAGTTGATATATATATATATATATATATATATATATATATATATATGTGGTCATATTGCTAAATACTTCCTTGCTGAGTACCTGGAAAGGGCGACCAATACTTCTTTCAAAAGCATGCATGTTAAATATGAATCTGTTTCATTGTATACAAGTTCTGGTTACATGCTCTAAAACACTGGTTATGCTGTGTTGGTAATTCGTCTTTAGAAATTGTGGTTGTCTTTGTCTATCAAACCTTTTATATTAAACAAAATTTTTTAAACTTCTGCATAAGTTTTCTGGCAAGTGCACTTGTTAAATGATATTTTGGCTCATAATTTTAGAATTAGTTGAACTTAGATATGAATTTTCACCATAAATGGTCTCTTACTATCAGACTGCTTACATGAGAGTATAAAGAGAACTAAGAAACAGATAATATTCAAAGTCATTTTAGGATCTTTTTTTATGCTGTAGCAATGCAAAACAGTTTGAGAAATTCAGAATCATAACTTAGGTGTTTGTTATCCTGACCAGTGAAGCTCTTGGGAGGTGATTGCTACCTGCACAAGGAGACCAAGATTTTTAAAATGGCATTAAATACCTGAAGTGATCTTCAACCTCTCTTCATATCTAGTCAACAATACCTTAATAGACTTCTCTCCTAATAAACATCTGGCAGGGTTGTGTAGAAATAATAGATGGTAAATTCAGGGCTGAAGATTTGCATTTTCTGAAAAATATCTATAATATTAAAGTAAGGCTTACATAAATTATTATTACAACATAAATAAAGCCACACTACAGATACATACTGTACTACCCTTAAAACCAGCAGGATCTCCTGCTCAGATCTCCTGGTAACATCATCTCTGTTTTCAAAGGTGTTTTTCCTCCAGGTGAGTCAGGTTTTTTCAAAATAATTATTATTGCTTACTCAGAAAATCCATTCTCTCTGTCTGCCATAGAAACTTGAAGTGACTTGAAGAAAAATTTTCAAACTACTATGAAAATCATGTTTTTAATAGGCCCTCTCCTCTCTTAGAATATCAAGGCATAAAGTCTTATTTACAAGATGCATATTAAACAAATTTTAACATTCTTTCTGTGGTTAAGGTGCTGAAAATAATAATTTAATTTGCACAATGTGCAAACATCTTTTGTCTCAGGCCAATAGCATACCTTGTTGACCACTTTATTTCTGTAGCTCAAATGTTCTGTAACCTAATATTTTGCTTTTTACCAGAAGTCATTCCAACCAAAATAGAGATAGAATTTCAGTTATGTAGAAACAACACAACATTGACAGTTTATCTCTTCACGTGTTAAGTACTGATCCTCATTTGATTTGAGACAGTTCCTCTGGTATTCTGTTCCTTACTAATGAAATCCCTGTTGCCTAGTGACGTACGTCAGATTTATCAGTCATTAATATTGAAGACTGATTCTGTTATGACCTGGTTTTAAATTATCACTTCTATCAAAAGTGTTAATCTTAGTTTCACCAACCAATTAGAGAAGGAAAATGTTTCTACATAACAAGGTACCTATAGAAATTACTAGTTTAGTAACAAATATTGTTCACAGACTTAATAAAATGGTGAACGTCACCTCAGTTGGAAATGTGCATCTTCAATACTGCGTGTAAAAGCTTTAAGTGGAAATCTGTAATTTAGATTTTTTACATGTATCCAAAGACTTTGAAAGGCCACTAAAGTACAATGATACCAATCAAATATCACAAGGTTGATCTTTGTAAATCTTTGATAACTTCAGTGGTTAAATCTTCTGTTGAATCGAGGTGTTTACTCACACACCAGCATCTGAAGTTTTCCTAAATGGGTTCTAAAGTAGTTCTTGTGTGCATTAAACTGTTGGAGCGGACACTTCAAGGTAATTCAAATGAGTAACCCTCACAGACAGTAGTGGCTGCTACTTTCATTGTCTTACTCTTTGTTGTTAAATGTGGTGAGAGAACAGCAGCAGTGGATGAGTCTTGGACATTCTACAAAATTATTGTACTTGTCCAGCATACAGTCTAATCTGTTTCTATTGCAAGACTGAATTTCTGTGGGTCTTTGTATAGTTTTCACGTAACTGTATTTCTTGTTTGTTTGCTGTTCTGGAAGACCTTTTTTCTGCTTTTCATATGTGTATGAGATGTGTACACACACACATTTTTCTATGCTTGCCTTGACTTTTCTTACCCCTTTTGGATGACTGAACACAGTTCCTGTCTCAGCATGTAGAAAATATGTAAATACCCATGTTACATTGGATCAGTGACTTGTGGAATAATTTACTCTGTAAATACATCAGAAAGGTGTGGAGCTCTAAGCATGGCAGTGGTCTGCAGCTGTCTCTCTGTGGTTGAATAATACTGTCTGGGATGAGCTATGTACTGGGTTGCTGGTATTAGGTTTCTTCTGTCAAAATTAATAATAATGATCTAATCCTATATAACTAACATGAACTTTTACTAGTGGCAAGATAATCAGATTGTAGAGGACTGTTGATATGGCTACTGATGGACCAGATGTTAAGGAGGGGGACAGTCCTGAGCCACAACATATAGAACCTGGAGAGATTATATTACAGTCATACAGTTCAACATGTGATCTTCTGTATTCAAGGCATTTAAATATACCTATCTATTTATGCTACCTTTACAGATAAGATTTAATCTACAAATATGCAGTTTTCCCATTCATAATTTAAATTATTAATGGTACTAAAATACACTCTTTAGAAGCTGCATTTATTCCTCCTCTAGAGCCTTGAAAAAGTTCTCTGTTTATATTATCTCTTTGCATTAGGATGGGAACAGTCTCCTCCCCAGTCTGATTAAAGGTGATAGATAATTATTCCAGCAGCTTGTTTTCATCCTCTACTCTTTTGCCAGTAAAGGAGGTTTTTTTGTCTGAATTTTTTAATATGCTTCAGGCAAAGTCAGCCTGGTTAGCTCAACTCACCTATTTAAATTAAATTGGCTGGTTTTGTACAAACCATATTAGGGTGTGCTCACATGATTTCTTCCTCCAGCAGAGCTGTGGAGATGATAATCTCCAGCAGATGTGTGATAACAAATAGCTTGGGATAGTAATGTCTTCATCTGGCGCAGTTGTTAGCAGACCAAATGTCTGTCTGTAGCCCGAGGCAGTGGGCAAACAATTGAACATGATTGAGTTATGGCGAGTTAACAAGTTGCTGCTTGGCAGCTGAACTGCCTTGGCTGATCATGTGCCCATTTTCAAGCTCCCGTCATGAGGTAAAATGTTTTCTTAAGTCACTTTTGTAAAATTTTACAAAAGAGTTGTACCTAAAGGAGATTTCCTATGGCTAAGAGATTCCTTTGGTTGGCGATGGGGACAGCATTGAAGAGTATTTTGCTGACCTGCTATAACATGATTTTGAATATGTAATTGCATTGTTAAATATATAGGGGGCCTCCATCACACAACTGTCTGCCTGCCTCTCAATACATAATGAACTTGTCCTCACAATACCCTTATGAAGGCACTACTTTTATCCTCATTCAACAGAATAACCAGAATACTTAAACAACTTAATATTTTGCCTTCGGTGATAAAGTTGATGCCATTAACTAGGTAATTTATGCTGTAATCTGGAAGCAACAGAATTGCAGGTTGGAATACTGTAGACTCTGAATAAGTTGAACTTGTGTAATTATTTTCTTTACATAGTGGTCTTGTGTCGTATTTCCTTTTTAGTGTGTTCCTGTTAAGTATCATGGCTTATTTCATCTACATATTTATTTTTTCTTACTGTGTGGTAAGTATAATTTGACACATGCATGAATTAAGAAACTGAAAAGAAATAGTACCCAAAATTTTACCTCTTACCAAATTTTTTTTGTCGAATCTTGCTAATTCTGTGTTGGCTTTCCACTTGCAAATGTTCCCTGAGAGACCTCTAAAAGAATTAAAAAAAAAAAGCTATTATTCCTATGCAGTTCATTCCTGGCTTGAAAGAAGTAAATCATACTCATGGAAGTGATTTCAAGGTGGAGTAGAAATGTACAAGTCAGGTTTCAAGCAGGTAACTGATGTTGTGTTAACACTTTAATCAATGTACCAGCAGCTTAGCATGAACTAGTGAGCCAGTTCTTGTGGCTGCAAAGTGGACCATAGGTTGAGGTAGAGGGAGTACCTTGATATTTCTTTAAAAATCAGGAGGAGCTACCTACTTGGCCATTACTATAATGTGTCAGGAGGATTGTGTGCCTGTCGTCCAGTGATCACCT